CGTCTACAGGCGCTGCCCTCAGTTGGGATGTAGAATGTGCTTATGTTGATTTTAAGGCTTTTGGTGTGCTTAGGTCGGTGTTTACGGCTTTTGGTGTGCTCAGGTCAGTGTTTAAGGCTTGAGGTATGGGAGGTTGCTTAGCTCAATGTTTGAGGTTTTAATAGCTAAAGGTGCTCGATTAAGGCTTTGGGTAGGTAAGAGTGCTCAGGTTGGTGTTTGAGGCTTAGGGTATTTTTGGTGATGCTCAGGTCAGTTAAAGGTGCTCGGTTGAGGCTTTTTAGTGAGTCTAAGTGCTCAAGTCGCCATTTGAGGCTTTTGGTATTTTGGGCAGGATGCCCCCAGTTTAGGTGCTTAGGTCTGTTTTAAGGCTTTTAGTATGATAAAGCTCAGGTTGGTATTTGAGGCTTTTGGTGTGTGTTTAGTTAGGCAAATCTCCTCGGATAGGGTTTAATTTGATCACATGTGAGTCTTTAGGTTGACCACGGGATGGTGTTTAGGTTGACCATAATATGGTGTTTAGGGATTTCTTAGTCCATGACATGTAATGCTTGAATTTATGGATGTCATGCAAAAAAAATGGTTTCATGATTTTTAGTGTATATAACCTAGAATTAGGTTCTAGGGTCATTACATGCTTTTGGTGGATTCAGTTTAAGGGTCCTAGACGCTAGAGTTAGAATATACCTCACCATTTGACCATGTTGTATCAAATGCAACAATTATGGTATTGCCAAACCCTTTACCCTACCAAAAGGATTGGAGGTGTGCGGCTCCAGGTGAGCAGCTTTCTTGACTCGAGATAGCCCCAAGGAGGAGTGTCTCTAGGTGATAATAGCAACTTAATTTACTTAGTTCTAATGACGGTAAAGGATCCCAAATGATGTATCTGAATGCATGCAAGGCAATTATTCGATTAATTTCAAACCAAAGACTCAAAGCCGACTAAGTAGTCCTCTTACTATATTTTTTTAGTTTTTGAAAAAATGTTTAAGTTCCCAGCAGAGTCGCCAGCTGTGAGGCCCCTCCCGAGTGCCATGGGAAAGATTCAAAGGACGGAGTGAATCTAGACGAGCATATAGGTCGGTTTCTCACAGACCCACGGGAACTCCTTATGGTTCCTCTTTATTGTCATAGTTCAAACAACGCTAAGTGATCGGATTGATTCTTTGGAGCGCTTTGAAAGGTGTGTGATGTGTTTAGAGTCGCCACATTACTTTGTTTTTATTTTTAAAAAAAAATATGAGGTAAAATTCTCGTGTTTGACTCCATTTTTAGTTTGCCACAAGAATAAAATGCTCTAGCCTTGAATCATTAGGTTCAAGGATTAGGTTTCGATTTTTTATGTAGAATCAATGGTTTAAAATTAATCAGGTGATCAGAATATTGGTTTTGCATGAATATCATATTATCGATGCGTAAGCATACTTAGGATGCATGGCGATAATGGTGATATGGACAAAGCATTGAAAGCATAAACAAATAAAGAGTGTAAATCGGAGGGAGCCAGACTCTAGCCTCGTTTATCGAGGATTCTAGATCGTGTGACACATTTTCTTAGATCCCGACCAATCTATTTGGTTGGGGGCCCGCTACCTAGGCTGAAATCCTATATATGCCTTCGTACCTCGTTTGAATGAGGATCGGGCGCACGAAGTTCTACCATCGATTAGTATAATAGGGTTTTATTTGCTATTCTTAGAATTGGTTTATAAGGCGCCGAACGGACCAGGCTTGAGTTCCAGATGGACTAGACTTAGTTGAAAAATATGATTTTATGGTGTGCCAGATGGACTAGGCTTAAAAAATTTTTGAGTGCCGGATGGACCAGGCTTTAATTGACAAGGTTCGAGTTAAGTTTTATACCATATATCGATGAGGGGTTTGAAGGTCGAGTGGTGCAACTGTACAATTGCGAAGCTCCGCGATGGTAAACGATCAAAGAGATCGAGTCTTTCTCCAAGTAAGCAAAAGATGGATACAAGGACCCGGTTTAGTCTTATATATATATTAATTAATTAGCTTTGCACCAAAGAGGACGAAAGTGTATGTGAAAGTCGAAATGATCGATTTTTGAGTACCAAGTTAGATTTTTGCTCAATTAAGGAAAAAGAGCAAAAATCAGAATTTAAGACCTTAGAATTATTTGCACAAGGGAGAATAAGAGTCGGGAGAATAAGAGTCGTTGAAGCTCGAGAAGCGCTCGATCAAGCAACAAAAGGTATCAAATGAGAGGGAGGGGTGTGCCTTTTATAGGCAATTGGGGCTCCAGGCCAATACCGGAGGGCCTAGCGTCAGTACCTATCAACCTGGTATCATGCTGTCCAATCGGTACTGATGTTGAGGCTTCCAATATCACTGGCAAGTGGGCCAGTGTCGGTGAGCCAGAAGGACGCTTTTGCCCTTTTAGTTTGATTTCTAAGTTTTTGTGCTTCGAAGGACGCTTTTGCCCTTTTAGTTTGATTTCTAAGTTTTTGTGCTTCTAGAGGCCTGTTCGTGGCCCAAACATTGTCTGATCCGAAGGACGCTTTTGCCCTTTTAGTTTGATTTCTAAGTTTTTGTGCTTCTAGAGGCCTGTTCGTGGCCCAAACATTGTCTGATCCGAAGGACGCTTTTGCCCTTTTAGTTTGATTTCTAAGTTTTTGTGCTTCTAGAGGCCTGTTCGTGGCCCAAACATTGTCTGATCCGAAGGACGCTTTTGCCCTTTTAGTTTGATTTCTAAGTTTTTGTGCTTCTAGAGGCCTGTTCGTGGCCCAAACATTGTTTGATCAAGTTGATTTTGTCCGTTGGAACTGTGATGGAATTTTGTAAGACTTGGTGTTGAAATTAACATCAGCTATCAACTATCCATTAATATAAAGAACTAAACCGAATGGTATATATTATAAGTTGAAAGGGTAGAGGTGGACTGGATGAGAGATTAGAACCCATGAGATGAAAATATATGATATGGGCTTACTTGGGCTTAGGCCAACCATTGTTAAAAGATTAGTACTAACCAATTTGCTAGCTAACTTAGCACCCTTATATGCGCTTTGTAGATTTGGTATTTAGTTGATGTGGAATTCTTAACAGTATATTCATATTTGAATCTCACTTGCTATTGCTAGAAGGGTAAAATAAGTAATATTGAAAGCCCAAATCACAGTTACCATGAACAGTGAATTTGCAAGAGTTCTAGTATATATATAATTTTATTTCCTATTTAATCAGATTTATTTCCTATTTAGATAGGTGTTGTATTCATACACAATGTAAAATTCATAATTAGTTGAAATCCTAATTAGGGTATTCTATAAATAGACTTGTAACTTTCATTGTATAGATACGAGAATCTGCCAATATAACTCATTTGGACCTGTTTATTTCTATCATTTGTAAAACCACCATTCATTTCTTCTTTTTTTTTTTTTTTTTTTTTTTTTTTTTTTGTTTTTTTTTAAGTATTAGATAAGCTATTATCCCTAGCATCATGGTCAAGCCAAGCTAGGAAAGACCAGAAGGGTTTTTTTTTTTTTTTTTTTTTTTTTAAAGTATTAGATAAGCTATATCCTAGCATCATGGTCAAGCCAAGCTAGAAGACCAGAAGGGAACCATTCATTTCTTTCCTAGCTTTTCATCTATTTCTTCAACCCTAGTCCTCTAATTTTTCCTCAAGATTGACGGGTCCTTCATGCTTAAATATTCCAACCATTGTTAAAGCTACACAGGATTTGTTACAACCAGATTCAACTGAACGATCCAATATTAAGGTAAACCTATAAACTTAATTAATCCCTAAGTAATTAAATATATTATATAATATTAATATATGTAATTATGAATTCTGTGAGTTAATTTAGTTTATAATCTTGACTTAAACCTACAATAAAGATGCTCTAGAAACAATTAATCCATGAATATGTGGAGAAAGAATGATAGACAAAATGAAATTGATACGAGGATAGCCTCACATCAAAATCTCTCTAACTCTCTTGTCAAACCAGTCTCCTTTGATCCACCGAGTCCACCTCTCCCTCTATCTCTTAATCTCCATCGATGTTCATAAAAGTTTTCATAAAAAATTTTCTTTTACATCTGACGCTTCCCTCTGCAGCCTTAAATGTGTCTATCTTTTGAAGCGGTTAACTAATTTTCATAGAGCAGCTAGGAAAAAATACAAGCCAAGAAAAAAAGATAAGAACTGAATACCAATCCTAGATAGAACTGAATACAAGTCAACTGAGTGAAGCTCCTGCCAATGCAAGACAAAATCTAGCTTAAGCTCCAGCGTGGACCTGGAGATACTTTTTGATTCTGTTTATACATGAGATATATATATATTGCTCCGATAACTGATTTTGCTATGTTTAGTGAGTTCATGGATATATATATATATATACATGCTTTTTGAAAATTGCAGTAGTAACATGCATGTGTCATATTGTGTCATGTTTTGGATTTAGGGATATTATATGTGTCATGTTTTGGGTTTCAGAGTATTATAGCTGCACTATGAAAATTAGTTAACCGCTATAGAGATAGGCACAATCCATTTAAGGCTAAAGAGAACAGCATCAGATGTAAAAGAAAATTTTTTATGAAAATTGATATGGACACGTACATAAATGGAGATTAAGAGACAGAGAGAGAGGTGGACTCAATGGATCAAAGGAGACGGGTTTGAAAAGAGAATCAGAGAGATGAAAAAGATATAGGTCTAGTTGGTATTAATTTTTGGTTATTGAAACGGTGCGCCTCAATAAATATGAGGTGTTCAGTAAATTTAACCAAATGAGTTATTTGAGTCTCTCCATTTATAGTTTTATAGTAAGAAAATTAACTTTTTTTTATTATTTAGAGTGCAATTATCACCAAAGTTCATAATTAGGCTGCTCGTGGAATAAAGGGGGTTTTATGGTGAAATTGCAACAATTTGTAAATTGATGGTGAAAGAGTACATTAGGCCTTATTTAGGCCAAAATGAAAAATTTTGAGGGAATTTGGGAGGCTATATAAAAGACTGAACAAAGAAAGTAATGTCCAAATTTAGTAACAACTGCTCAAATAAGTTAATATACAACCTCAATCTGTTTTTCCATTTACACAGCTTTCAAAGGAGTGGTGCCAAAGTTTTGTATCTCCAAGTTCACATTTTTCGACTTTTACAAAAGATCCAGCCATTAAATGCACCCCCCCAAAATTTCCTATACCCATCAAGAGCCCAAAATGGAAGGGAGAAAAATGGACAATATATTATCCACCCCGAATTGTTAGCCTTCAGCTCAGCTAAGTCACTCTAAGACCCCTCCGAGCGGCCCATGCACAAGAGAACAGTGCCAGGGGGCATTTGCACGCAGCATTTACAAACTTTTAGGATATATGAGAAACTAAGATGACATGTGATGGTGGGGATGAACTGTTGATTTAATCAAAGAATTTAGAGTCAAAATTATCTCACTCAAATTGTTGAATAATTGGAGAATAGCTGCAGCAGGTTATCAATAGCTTCTGGATAGAATTTCCTAGCGAATAAGTAACATGGCCGTTGGATACCATTCCATAAGCATGGCTGTATTAGCACTTCCTTCTGCAAAAGCCAAGAGAAGCATACAAATACATAGAGATAAAAGTTACAGTATGGCAAATAACTTGAAGGAAATACAATGGATGTTTCTGAAATTGTACCTTTTCATCACTTGTCACATGTATGCTCAAGTCAATTGACTGCAAACAAATAAAACATTCAAGACTATCGACTGCAGATGTTCTATAAGAAAGATAACATAACAGAAATGGCATGCCAAACTATGCAAAATAGAAACATGCAGCCCAAGTTCTGACTGCTAGTCATATCATCTTGAGGGGGAAAGAAAAGAACTAGTTACAAAAGTATATCTGCCCCCAAGAAGATGAGAGGAAATCTGGAGGGTTCTTTTTGCCCTTCATTCTCACTACTCAATGCTATCAGGCACAAACTTGGAAGTACCATAACAGAAATGTTTAATTCTCTACAAAACACAAAAGCTCCAATGACCATATTTCAACAAGAAACAATTACTTAGAAGCAAAGAGCATACCGTAATATTCTTCAGAAGCTCGAAAGTAACATCCTGAGCCCTATAAGACTTAGGATGCCACTTCCTCTCAGACCAATCAACATGTGTTATTGACCAATTTGCAATACCACCAGGATCAACAATCTGATGTAACATAACAAACTCAGAGATATTAGAAACCAAAATATAAAGAACCCAAAGTTGACAATGGATTATAGAGAAAGGTTCTCACATTGAAAAAGGTTGGCAAATAATGTTCATCAGCAATACAATTCTTCCCTTCCAAACCAGGCTGTAATTATCAAGGAGATCCACATCAGTATTGCTGTGATCCAGGCATCATTTACAAACTCAATAATATACATAGTTGCTTTCGAAGTCAAGAATTTGACTTTGTTCCACAAGCATAATTGCGACATATCAGGCTTGCAAAAGATTAATGTCAATCAAAAAGATGGTGAGTTGTGACTCATCACATTAGAATATTGTATGAAAAGAAGAAGATGAAGACGATAGTAGACGAGAAAATAGGAAGAAAAATCCTCAAAGGAAATACAATTAAAAAAAAAAGTTTTCCTTCCTGCTTTTAATCATTCCATCAATGGAAAATGGAAAATATATGAATAATTCTTGTCCATTTTACACCTCCAACGCTTGGAATTTCATAAGCAAACAAGCAGGCCAAATTAAAGATCTCATTCCTTGGAAAGATATATAAATAGGCTCAAAAGAAATTAGGCCAAAAAACTTTAACATTTTCCCCAATACCTTGATGTGGCACATTTGTAATTTGGTTACAATTTATGCTAGAAGAAACCAAAGGATTATGTTACAGAACAAGCATACAAGAAATCTTAAGCCATGTTGCCCATAAGCACCACGAAAGAAGACATTGGACATACTTAAACACATGTTGTTCAGTAGTAGTTAGAATAAAAGGTGGGACTTCCAACACATTTCATACCAGGTTAATGTTCATAAGATGAAGTTGGCATCAAGGAAAAACTACCTTGCAGAACTGACGGAATTTTGAGTAGTAAAGACTATCAGCTGTAATTATCACAGCATGCTGTCGTTTCACTGAAAACCACTGCATAAATAACTATTCATTAAAAATTGTGACAAGAAGATGCTGATAGAAATTAAAACTAAAGGGCACCACAATCACACATCTAAACCAAAGGCTCGCTTGTCAACATGTCACCCAGGTTAGGAAAGTGTGAAGAAGCTCGTATTTGTTTATACATGCATAAAAGTACAGGCATTCATATTATATACCAAATAAACTACAATGATGCCCCAACATGTAAAACCTTGCCTCAAGAACATGAATTTAATAGCCAAAAGGAGGGCACTAAATCAAAATGGTGATCGGTCAGTGAGAAATTACTGATAAACAAGTTCATGCAGCCTTCAACCGGCACTTCATGTTCAATAGACAGTAATAAAGCCAGAGAAAATTTGCTGGATTGTTTTTCTGGCCACTTATTTAAGGCTTACCACACAAATGAAGCCACATACACTAATTGGCTTGAGACAAATGAACACATTTCACAGACCATGTTCCCAAACCCTGGCACCAAATTAGAGAATTAGGGAAACCCTGGCACCACATACCTGAGCACCCTTTCTGAAGTCTTTCATCTCCACTTCCGGTAGCATATGCTCTGAATACCTACCATTCCCATGCGGACCAGGATCATAAAAGCTGAAATCAGAAGGAAAATTGCATCAGCAAGGACAAACAAGATCAAACTAACTTGGAAATATATTAGCCAATGTATATTTCTCTCAAGGGCTAATTAATTTGTATGTATAATTTCACCTTCTGTCACACAGAATTTACTGAAGGATAGAGAGCAAGAAAGAAGAAATGGGAAAAGGGGTAGGAGGACTGAGATGCGGATCACACTGTAACAAAAGTACAGTATAGAATGTAATGGCACTTACGAATCAACATAGCTGATATTGGTGTACATCAGATAGTTGTAGATGTAGTCGAAGGTATGTAATGGCACACAACTGGCATAGCAAAGAAGAATAGTCATTAACCAAAGATAGCTAAAGTCATCAAAAAATTATATTTCGCTTCTATTTAAGTTCTGTAGATCAATGACATTAGAATCAGAATATTCATAATCTGAATTACCTATCAGAAAGTAACACAAAATGCTGGTTGTCAGGATCTTTCAGTGCATTTGCCAAAAGTCGCCTTTCTGCATCAACCATTGAAATTTTTCCCCACACCACCTGCAAAATAATTAATAGCATATATGATTATACAACTATTGAATCACTCACTATCTGATTATATAACATAAGAATGATATGATGATATCTAAATTCCAATCGGTAGTCATCAAGAACTTACAATAACAAATATAATTTTCATAAAATAAGATGACTTGTGATGCATTTAATAAGAATAAATTAATATAATTTTCTAAACAACTTCATTGATGACATTGTCTATTGAGAATGATCAACAAAAATAGGGTTGCCTCCCAATTGGAGGGTCATGAAGAAGAAGTCAGTACGTATCCCACGTATACTTATAATAATTGACAAACTTAGCCTCAAGATTTTAGTCATTATGTCTAAGGCACTTCAGGAAGCACTAGGGGGAAAAAATAGTGAAAATTCAAGGAGAAACTAAAGACAGATTAAATAAATAAATGAAAGAGATTATCAGGTTTTATACAGGAGATACTATTTTCTATTCTACAGAGAATGAACAGTGTTATTGAGCCATGATGGAAATATTAAGACACTGCAAGTTCTCAGAACAACCAAAACAAATGGGAAAGCATAGCAAGGTGATGCAGGAGCAATCCTAGTCCTAATTGGATTCCCAGCACAACTAGGATTTTATTTAATTTACTGTTTTATTTCAGATTTGCATTAGTTTTATCCTAGTCCTAATTTGGATTCCTAGGCCAGCAACTTTAGGATTTTATTTAATTTACTGTTTTTATTTCAAAGACTCAGATTTGCATAGTTTTCCGTTTCCTTATTTGATTAGGATTTACTATTTTATCATTGAATAGGAATAGAGTTTAATTCTTTCTCTTAATTAGGATTCCTAGTCTAGTTAGGATTTATCCTATTAAATGACAGCCACTAGTAAGCATTGTAAAAGTCATCTTATTTTCCTCATAATTTTAATTCAAAGTATAAACCTAATTTATTTACTGTTCCATCCTACAATTCAACCCTATTCTAAGCGTTATAAACCTAATTATTTACTGTTCCACCTACAATCAACCCTATTCTAGCTTACTTGTTAAAAACTGACAGCCCTACATCTTCCCCCTGCGTCACAAGGTATTGAATATACTTAACCTTCATTCTTCTTCTAAGCCACATTTATGAGCAACAAACATGAAAATAGAAAAGGCAATGATGACTAAAACGAAATGAGTTACTGAAATCAAATTTTTGAACCTGGCGACTGCGTATGTCTCGATTAACAAAGTATCGGCTCACATGCACTGGTTTTTCTTTGGATGCGTGAATGTAGACTGAGAATCTGCCTTCATGACCCTGACCAAATTAATGAACTAGCTTTAACTAAAGAAAAAGTTAGATTAAAACAATCACAGGACCATCAGCAGTTGAAAAAAGAAAATTGTACAAATTATTGTAGCATTTCTCAAGGCACCAATAAGAAAATTGGAAAACAAAGCCTAAAACGAAGAATTCAAACGGCAAAAACAAATTGGCTTAGCAGCCATCATCATTTCTAGTTCTGTTCATTCTCAAAGAAACATTATATATTAAAGACATTACTGTACTGCTCCTGTCCTTTTTTTTTCTTCTTAATATCATTACATACAGGAAAAAAAAAAAATTAAATGTTAGATATGGAATGAAACATCAGAGGAACATCTGAAAATATAAGGCATTAGAACAGCAAATCAAGGACATCTTCCACTTAATTCTTAAATATGCTTTCAGGTCAAGATAATGTTTCAACTCTTGTCCGTCTTTCCTTTCAAATGCCACATCCCCAGCACAGTTTAGAACAATGAAACCTATATCCAGCTTCATCATATTTTTGTTTGACAAGGGCCACAATGAACACTAAATCTCAACTAAATTCTACTTATCCAACTTACTACAAAAACTTACATGAGACATATCTAGTTTGCCACACGTATCTACGATAACATCACAAGATCCTTTTGATAGCTCAGATAAGCACAGCAGACACAGATAAAATGTCCTATACTAGTGATAATTTGCATAACTTCTTAGTCATTAATAACTGTGCAATAACAATTCTCATTGGCAATGTCAGTATGAAGAATGATTAAATTATCATAGAGTCAATCAACTCTGCTATATGACTACAATCTCACCAATAATTTTTTTAAGCTCTATGACTGCCTTATCATGTTTTCTTTCACAATGTTCTTCTTTTTGTTCCCCATTTTAATAAGTAGACATAATACACAACTTATTAAGATTAAGAATTGCTATTGGAATTGAAAATTCTTCCCTGATTTTATACCAATCATTTTTCTTAAGGTACAACAATTTCTTAGAGATTAAGAATCCTTGGTTGAGATAAGCAATGTCCTTTCGATAGTTCAGACAAGCATAGCAGACAGAGAAAAAACATGTCCTATATCAATAACAATGTGCTTAAGACTTTCACTCGTCATTAACTGTGCAACAATAATTCTCATTGGCAATGTAGTACTAAAAATAATTAAATTATCAAGGAGTCAATAAACTCTGCTATATGACTATAATCACCAAAAATTCTTTAAGCTCTATGACTACCTTACCATGACTTTTCATGCATAATATCTCTTCCTTTTATTCCCCATTTTAACCGATTAGACGTAATATACACCTTCTTGAGATTAAGATTGCTATTGGAATTGAAAATTCCTTAATGTTATACTGATCATTTGTCCAATATACAATACTTCCTGGAGATCAAGCATCCTAATCCTCCACTCTTAAGTCTATTTAGCAACTCCTTTTGTTAAACTATATTTCTTTCTACCATTTTCAGCAGATCAAGGTCATATTTCAAGGTAAGATAATGTATGACATATTAAAGCAGTGGTGTCCATTGGCCTACTTTTATTTATCCTTTGATGCGGGGCTCTTCAAGCCCTTTTCCTTCTCCCCTTTTTTAAGACACTAATAATCGAAAGCATCTTCTGCAGTTAAAGAAATTTTTTTAATATGCTAACTTGCGATCTTGAGGAAGAGAAATTAACACACGCATAAACAGAGATTTTAAACCAAAACAATAATAATAATAATAATAATAATAATAATAATAATAATAAAAGTTAGCATCACGAATCACCAATTTCTGACACAAAATTAATTGGTCAGATTCAGAGATATTAGTTGGATGAGCTTACATAATCTGAATTGTTTGCATGGTGAAGTGCCATTTTTACTTTTTTAAGTTCGTATTGGAAGATAACTTTTTTTTTTTTTTTTTTTTTGGTGAAAGTGCCCCATTTTTTACTTTTTAAGTTCCGTATTGGAAGATAACTTTTTTTTTTTTTTTTTTTTCTCCCTTCAGTAGATTAGAAATTTTAATATTTTTTTTTTTTTTTTTTCTCCCTTCAGTAGATTAGAAATTAATATTGGAAAAAAATTCCCAAAAATATATAGAAACATTATCTGCGATTAGCATAAAATATAAAAAAGACTTACGTGGAAAAACTTGTCCCACAGCTTCTCAAAAGGTAATGAACCAGGAGTCAAGAACATGAAAGCAATTTTAGGATTTTTTGTTTGAATTGGCGGTGTATTCAATATCTCCTTAACCACAATATGAGAAGCGATTTCTTGATCTGTATAGTCCCTTGTTGGAGCAGGTGGAAGCCAATCAGTAAGAACCTTGCAACCTCTGGAAGAAAATACATAACAAGCCGCATTGCTTTGGGGCGGATAGATATAAGCACAGACGAGAAACAGGCTGACCATTGAAACCAAGACAATAATCCATATTGGCCTCTTCAGAGGAGGACGGTGGCGAGCCCCAGGCAAGATCTGCATATCACCCATGCCTAGACGCCACGCCTGAGCTGCCTTCATTTATTAGAAGCACATAACATGGAGGTCATGTGCCTCTATCATAAACATCCACCTCTATAAGAAACTTAATGGCCGAGATAAAAACCTTCAATGATAGTTTAGGAAAACCTGAAAATGGACAAGATACACAATTCAATCAGAATGCTAGATATGCACACTAAACGCAATTATCTTCCAATAATCAATCAATCAATCAATCAATCAAAAGATAACACAATAATGAACCATCCGAAAACAACACAGACAAAAAAAGAGGAAATCAATTTTTAGCAAAATTAATAAAATGCCCTGCAATACAAACTGAAAATTTGGCAAGACATTCATATCATTCTACTATAAATTGCAGAACATAACCCAGTCTAGTGGCAAGAAAGATAATAATTAATAAGTTACCCAGTTAAAGAACAATGCATGCTATATTCCCAAATATCAAAAAGGCAACTTCTTTAATTAACCCCACATAAAATAAAAAAATAAAAAAAAAAGGGGGAAAAATAGCAAACCAGATCCCCGATAGAAAAATAGTTCAAACATTTACCCAGCACAGAAATAAAACACACATCAAATCAAGCAATAAACTCTTTAGTTCCCCCTTTCCAATGCAACACTCGAAAGGACAAAATAAAATAAATAAAAATAAAAATGGAAAAACTAGAAAAAAAATAAGCAAGAACAGAGTTGTGATTTTAGTAGTGAACAATAATAAACTAGAAAACAAATAACTGTGAGGTAAAAATTTTGTAAAAATAAAAACCATTGTTGTCAAATCTTGCTCATTCAGGTAGCATTTCAAATTTCTAAATTTGCTAGTTGCCAAAAAATTTTAACTTTCAAATTTCGTTTCTCTTTCTATTTGCCTTTCCCAGAAAACAAACAGGACAAAAATTGAACCAGTTTCTGAGGAATTAAAGAAAAATACCCAACCATATAAATAAATCAAATGTAAACAAGATCAAGAAAGTTATACAAACAAACCAAGTTTGATCAGCCAACCCTTTGATTCAAAAAAAGTCCTCAATTTTCCCAACTACTAAAACCAACCCTTTGTTTCCTCATCAACGCAACAAACTAAATAAATTTAACTCCTTAACATAAAAGTCAAACCCAACACCAATGACTCGTTCAAAATCCAAATCCAAATAAAAGAAATGCTCATTCAATTGCTTATTTGTCAACCCAAAACCCCTGTCCCACAAATTAAGAACTTTGCCACTCTTCTGCACACCGCCCCATGTTTGGTTTCAAAGAGAAAACCAGAAAACAAAAGAAAAAAAAAAAAAAAAAAAAAAAAAAAAAAAAAAAAAAAAAAAAAAAAAAAAAAAAAAAAAAAAAAAAAAAAAAAAAAAAAAACCTGTTTCTTATCATTTAACTCTAACAAACCCATTACACTGACTCGGATCATGCATGCACAAAACTTACAATGAATAAAAACAATCACTATCTTCCCTCGTCATTTCTCCATCCCAGAATCAGAAACAGCGGGAAAACAGAATCCAAATCAAGAAACGATAAATTTTGGAATGAGAAGCGAAAATTACCTGAGAATGTAAAGCTCAACGTACAGATCTTTCCAATTGGGAACTTTCTCTCTTCCAACCCAATCTATCGATTAAAAGATCTAACAGAAGTACAAGAAAAAGGCTGTTTGCCGAGTTAACTATCGTTCAAGATCTAGGGCAAGCAAAACCGAGGAAAACAAGAACTGAACAGGAAAGAGAGAAAGACAGAGTTTTTATATTTTATATGCGAGAGATTGTTAGATTATGATTCTTTTAGACGATTTGTTTTTGTTTTGTTTCGCGTCTGTTACTTTTTTTTCTTCTTTCTACTTCGAGAGAGAGAGTGTGTGTATGTGTGTGCTGAGTGTGTCAAGTAGCAATAGTTTTTGGTTCCGTTCAAAATGGAAGCAGGGGAGAATTCCAACCCGCGAATTTTTTTTTTTTTTTTTACTATTTCTTTATATTTTGTGTGGATGATTTTTTTTTTTTTTTTTAACCTAAACGCAGCAACGGAGCGTGGGGTTATGGGTCCTATTACTAAAACCGTCCATTTGTTGCTCTTTCTCTAGTAGTAACCAAACGACCGGTCAAATATTGTAGTACAGCGTAAAAAAGTAGGCCTTTTTTATGGGCCAGGAATGTTAACCGGCCGGGTCGAGGCGGGTTATGCCCATCCCGGCGCCGCCCGAAACTTCACAGTTCTGTCCGTTTCCACCATTAAACCCGAAATGAAAAAAAAGATCTCGTCTGTTAAAAACAAAAAAAAATTTCAACCCTATCCTGCCTATAAAAATTTATGTATAAAATACATTTATTTATATATTATATATAATAAAGATCAATCAAAAATACGTAAATATATTTTTTACATTTTTTTATTCGAGGAGAGCTCAAGACTTGCACTGTCGTTTATAATGAAAAAATTTTCAGATGCAGTATTTTAAAAGCGGATTTAAATTTTGAAAAAAAAAATTATTTTATTTCTAATAAAACGGGTGGTGTCGTGTTTATTAATGGCTCCATATTTGCAATTACTAAAGTCATTTGGTTAAATTAATTTCAAATTCATTATTTTTTATTTAATATGAGTTAATTAAATTTTTTTTTTTTTTTGAGAAAGAGTTCATTAAATGTTGATATGGCATAAATAAACTAAATATCATAAAAAGGAAATAAATTAGTTAATTAAAATAAAGATAATGATAAAGTTGAGTTAGTAGAGTTATTGACATATAATAGCATCAAAGGAGAGAGCAAAGAAAGAGCATACAATGACACGGATAGTGCCCTATCAACCTCATTTAACACCTCCAATGATGGAAGAAAGTATTTCAATGAACTATAAATAGAAGGAGCATATACAGAAAGATGACCCCTAACAACAATAAAACAATTAAGGTGCCGTTTGTTTTGGTTTTTTATTTTTAATCTTTAAAATTAAACAAAACTCATTTGTTTAAAATCATCCGTTTGCATTATATGGAAGCCAAGTGTAAACCTTTGAAATTGCCAAATATGAAAAAGATAACAATTATTTAGCACGGTTGAAAGAAGATAAGGTGTAATGACAGCAATTGTAAGAAGATAAGTTGTTTTATATTTTTAGATAATGTCTTTATCATGATAATATCTATTAGTTACATCCTATTAAGATAATACATTAAATTAAATTAAACTACAAATAACCCAAGCTATAAAATAAGAAATACTTAATTTCTTATTTAATAAATACGTTGTTGTGTGGAGTAGTTTTATATACCAGGAGCTAGGTTGCACAGACAAGAGATACGAAATCTATGCTAATAAATAAATAATTATTTATAATAAATAAAAAACATAAAATAAAAAATATTTAATTTTATATTTTAATGTTTACCTTGATGTATGAGATAGTTTTATATACCAGAAGTTAAGTTGCACAGATACGAGACACGAGATACGAGAACGTACGAGATATAATAATAAATAAATAATCATTTATAATAAATAGAAAATATAAAATAAAAAAGAACTTAATTTTTTATTTTAAAATAATTACTTTAAAGTAAAATTAAATTAAAATACATATAAATCAAACTATAAAATTGTCACGACCCGTTTCCGTGGACCGGACCGGCACTAGGGCCCAGGTAAGCTTAAGGCCCCCGAGGCCCGTAGTAAGCCTAAATTATTCAATCTGTAGTAAGCCTAAATTATTCAACTCTGTCTATTATGATTCTCCTAATTTCAACAAAACATAAGCCCATATATAAACCATGTGACCCATTCACATTATACATAATATGTAAACCCAGGACCTATCCACAATAAATTATAATCACATTATGGCTTACTGGTTCCACCTGCAGCAAATTACATAATCTTTAATTTATAGCGTAGTGCTAATAAGTAAAGCCCAATATTAAATACACAACCCTATAACTGCGGAAGTTCAATAATAATCTAATGTAGAGTGGGACTTATACATCCAATTTAAAATAACAGAATATTAAAGTTTTACATTTATAACCTCTGCGGAGAAGATTGCAGAGCTTCAGTCGAATCAGCTTGCTTCCTAGCACCTGGGAGGTTTGGAGGAAGGGGGTGAGTTTTGCAACCTCACGTGAATAATAATAAAATAATACACACCACATTACAGTCAAGCAAAATGGCACCCTGTTACTGGAATGAACACACAACAGTCAATCATATAACATGACATAGCACCCACCAAACAATATCACTTTCAAATAATCCACATCACGTTGAAATTAGTCAGTGGAGTCACCGAATCCCGATGAGCCGTCCTCCCACATGGCTCATCTCCTCTCACATGTGCACCAGGGAGCCGATCCCCCATACTGGCCGACCGGTCTAATCCTTACTTGACCAGCCCTCTTCATTGTTTTTTCCATTCTCTCTTTTCTTTTTCATTAACCAACAGGAGGTACCCGGTCGTCTCCATCAAATCTAGATCATCAGGCGCTCACAACAGAAGGCCACCCTGCGGGGGCTGCGATCAAATCTAGATTATCAGTGAGCCCAATGAGGAAAACCAACTGTGGTTTTTCATATCACACAGATCATAGCAGTGTGCACACGGGGCGCCGATCTCCCATTTACCCGGCCCAAATCATCATTTCAGGATCCATGTCCACATTACCATTCTCACAAAAACCCATGGTGTCCACTTTCATCCCAATTCCACACAAAAACAAAATTTCACAGCATAGCCACAGCACCAAATAATCAGACAAATTCATTCATCATAATACACCATTTCATCCAAATGCACAAATTATATATTAAGTATAATTATAGGTGATCGTAACATAATATATATGATAAAAATACTTATAATATATTTTAAATATATAAAAAAAATATAGGGTTATTTAAATAAATGTTATGCAAATGCAGTGTTGATATGGCATTATTTACTATTACTCACTTATGATGAGAGCGAAATTCTAGCTTTTTGTTGTCCTGGAAGGAGCACTAGATGGGACCCGGGCGATTCTAAGAAATTTATAAGAATGGACACCAGGAAAATAATTTATATCAGATAAAGATATTGTATTACCTTAATTAATTTTTATTTCCTATTTCTGTACTTTTTATACTTTAATTATTCCTCTTATATTAAATTTCTTTTCTGACAAACTTTTATTCTTATTATATTATTATTATTTATTATTATTATTTATTCTATTTTTTATTTATCTAACTCTAGTTTATTTATTTTCTTCTACCGAAATTTATTTTATTTTTATACCAATTTTTTATTTTTATTTTTCTACCGAAATTTCGGCAGCATCTCCCTTAAAAATTGGACTATCTACCTATTAAAATATCAACAATTTCACAAGTATTAAATCCATAACGCCTATCCGTCCGGGCAAATTTAATCAAACAACATTTTCCCATCCTCCTCCAATCTCAACATCACCACACAATCCAAATTATTACATTACAATAAACATTATTATTTAAACTACCTTAATTAAATCAAACTAAAAAATTATAAAACTGTTAACTACTCACAATTTATCAAATTAAAATTAACCAAATTACTTAACTACAAATAATAAAATTTAAATTTAAATTTAACTAGCATTACTAAAATTAACTTAACTAAACTAATTGGACTACAAGTAATAAAATTAATTTCAATTACTAATATTACTAAAATTAATTAACTTCAATAATAAAATTAATTCTAATTAACTAATATTACTACATTAAACTAAATCGACTAAAATTATTAAAAAATTAAAATAACTAACTGGAAACACCCTGAATTTTTATTTTTGAAACCTTTGATTTTTGACGGTATGGGCCATAAATAGTGAATAATTTTATTCGCAGTTCAAATTTTGCATTTGGGCCCAAGCCCAAATATAATGTCGAAACCTTGATCGAGAACAGTTAAATTCTCGGAGTAATAAAATGAAAGTCCAGCAATTAATCTAGTAGTAATAATATTAAATTTAATTTTCTAAAAATCAAAATATGGATTACTAACCTATGTTTTTTTTTTATTTAGCTAATGGAGGAAATGTTATGAAAACCTAATTAAAAATAATTAAATAATTGAACCGGGACCCGAAACGCAAATTGAATTATTCGAAGACCAAGTGAAAACCATGCAAACCGAGTAAAATCGATCCGAAAACATTAAATTAGACAAACGGTTCGAGATCGAACCGGAATGGTCTTAGAAGCCCTTAGATTTTTCTTTTCTTTTCTTTTTTCTTTTCTTTTTCTTTTTTTTTTCTTCCTTCTTCTTCCTTGCGCCTAGGCATGGTCACGGTTCCGGACCCGGCGGTTCCGGTTCCAGGAAAAGCTGGAACCGGAACCGAACCGAAATGTCCGGTTCCGTTCCGGTGTTCCGAACCGTTCGTTCGGGTTCCCGGTTCCGGTTCCGATCCGATTACAAAACCGCGGTTCCGATTGGTTTCCGGTGAATCGCCATATTTTAAATTTTTAATTTTGGGATACCGGTTTTAAAAAAAAATTTTATGTTGAACATAAAAAATTAAATAAATACAGTTAAAAAATTTTTTAAAATATGAAGGACCGGTTTAAAAAAATATTGAAACATGAAAATTTAAAAATACACCTTAAAAAATTTTAAATTTTTGAAGATCGGTTTTAAAAAAAAAATTATTTGAACATAAAAATTAAAAAATACACCTAAAAAATTAAAAAATACTTCAATTAAAATTTATTTTTTAAACTTTGAATTGTGAGTGTTGAACATAATGATTTTTTTAAAAAAAATTTTTGGAAACTGAATTTTTTTTAAGTTGAACAAAATTAAAAAAAAAAAATGGGCTTGAACTTAATTTTTTTTTTTTGGGTTTAAAAAAAAATTAAGTGTTGCCTACGTATTCCTTCTTGGGGAGTTTAGAGGAA